TTTACACTTTTCTGGTTCGGAACAACAGTGTTCCGAATTTTTGGGAAGCAGCCTTTGCAATTCTAGCGACATGATTCTGCGACATATTGATATGTATTTTAACACCCCACAACCTGGTTACTTTCACACCAATTAGAAAGCACTTCAAGATCCTCATTAAAATATGCATCCTCCTTCTGCTGGTGAAGATGTGCCTCGAAAGCCGATGTCCTGGAATCCAAATGAAAAGACGAGAAAGTGTGCTGTCGTCAGCAAAGCAATATACTGTAGAATCCGTATATAACGACCTTCAAGGGACCGGATATACTGTACTATACTACTAACGATTAATTTCGTGATAGTAAAGTGTACATTAGTTCATTAGTCTTTCATTCAGCTGTTCGGGTTGCTGATCGATAGATAAATAAAACATTTTATAGGAATCATATATGCTTTATTTTAATAGTTCTTAAATATCCTAATGTACAAACATATGTACTTACATTATGTACTGTAATACAAAGAGATAAAATACACACGGAATGCACGAAAAAACTGTGTTACTGACGTAGAAAGTCTGTTATTTGAGTTTGTTCTTGACAATGGTATGCTGCAAGTTTATGTGAGTATGAGTGCATAAGTTGATTGTGAATTGTCATATCTGTGTGTGTGGGTTTGTGATACATTGAGAAATTGTGTTTGTTGTTTGAGCGGCAGGTAGTCAAATCTAGGAAGTTCGGTGAATCGTGATCGTCTTCCATTTCCATTGAGTGGATTCCATATCTGGATTGAGGCTGTTCAGATTAATGAGAAAACTATTCAACTGACGTATAGTGACATATTGTGGAGGATAATTTTCATACTACTGACTTAATTGAAATGAATTTGAACATATCAGAAGCCGGAACTGTAGAAACAATTTTTCCAAATTAATTTTTCCACTTCTATAGACACTTGAAAACGTATTGTGAATCTTGAAGCTTTCTTTGTTTCAAAGGAACGAACAATTGTCACAAACTTCTGGATACGCCCCTGTATCCTGCATGTTTACAAATCTCGAGTAGTTCGAGCAAGAGTCTAGTTTGAATTCAAAGCAAATACGAGATTGATCTTTTTGGAGATGCTCTACGGGCTGATTAGTGTGTGTCAGCATTTTTGACATTTCTTGCTTCCTTCGATCGGAGGGATCTGACTGCGAAAAACTGCGACAAGTTTTTCGATGGTTTTTCCATTAGAAGGGTCGCTAATGATGGCTAGATTTATTTCCGTCCCTTGTTCGGAGATTATCGAAGCCAGAACGTAACAACCTGAGTTTCATAGGAGTAGGAGTAGGAGTAAAAAAATGGCATTTGAATAATTGCAAGAGAGATGTTTATTGAAGATGTTATTGAATTATATATTTCAAAGCCCTGTCAGAAGAATGAATACAAAATAAACTTGACTGTCACTTTAATTAATAATGAACATGACTTCGTAATTTTCTAAAAACCATCTTATATTATTATTGTCATACATAATTCCTCGGCACATTTCCTATCAGCAGCAGCCTTCAATTGTTTGCTTCGCAGACTATTGAAAATTCCACTGTCAGAAAGACCTGAGTTTTGTCAAACATGTCGCTATCAACAACGGTTACAAGCTGAATATTGTTTTGAGAGATTTTCGAAAACAATCCCTTTCACCCTGTCCAAATTCAAGAAACGATGGAGTCTCACTTTGGTGAACCTACAAATAATATCACTTCTTCTTGAAAAAGAGAGCCTACAGAACAATGATTGAGGCAAATCCCTCAATAACATTGAAAACAACCTCAGAATCGGATAGATTAGAAGTATATCAGTTGACTTGTGGTTCTTGTCCAAAACTTCACATTGGTTAAACAGGGAGATCCTTTTCCCTAAGAATGAAAGAGCATAGAAGTAGTTTTTGGAAACCAATTCCACATTCGCAAAGAGGTATGATGTACCAAGATCTGACGTGTCACATTTGAATGAGAAAGGTTTGACACTGCACCTTTTGAAATGCTTAGAAATTAGGATTTGAGGAAAGTTAGTGACTGACGAAAACTTTTTTCAATATGAAATTTGGTAATGATTTTGTTGTATGATTTTTTAATTAGTTTGTTTTTTTTAATGTTCAAGTTTTAAATTATTCAAAATCTAAACCCATGTAGAGAGAGTTATTGAACAGTCAGTAGGTTCAAAGTCATAGAGTTACAACAGTTATCTTATATCAATCTCTTATTAGGAGTTTTATTCTGAAAATTGGTTCATTACTGAAAATTATACAGCTATTTCATGAACTTAATATCGATTGAATACATTAGAAATATTCAGACCTAGAATTTGGCGAATTCCACTCATGAAGTAGTTTACCAAAAGGTGCAATTGAGAATTCACTTTTGACTTGCTATCCTTCTCTAAAGTCGAATTTTTACATAACTCTTTTCTGAATCTACGTTTATTAACGATGAATTGACTGAACATTCTGAGATTGTGTCGTGAATTCTGGTTTTGAAAAAAAAAATTCAGTGATATCTGTGTTTTTGGCAACTTGGGACTTGGACTTCACGAAATATATTCAGGGGTTATGTGTATGTTGGATAAACTAGATGATCTTCAAAAACTCTTTTGAAGTAGCACATGTTAACTGTTATACAAGACATGTTTTCAGTTAAATTTCAATGGTTCTCCTGTTGAATTTTAGAAATGTCACTGCAATCCGTACTCACGAGGTGTATTCAAATTTTTCTCAAAAAATATTCGTTTATTCATCAATTTCAATTTTATCACTTTCGAAGTAGTTCCCCCCAAATATAATATACCTGTGCCAGTGTTTTATTCCAATCCTTAAAGCAGTCTGATTTGCACTTTTTGACATGTTCTTGAGTTCTATCAGAGATTAGGTAAAATCTCCAATCTTGAGAGCAGAAAAAAGTCTTAGGGGGCCAAATTTTGTGAATGCGGTAGTTGATGCATGATTACGGAAGCCAAAAATTTACGAACAAGCAATGAAGGGTGGGGAGATTCATAATCTCCATGCAGAAAACTCATCAATTTTTCAATGTTTCATCATCATTCTGAGTTCAATACTCAATGCTGATGATCATATATCAATGAAAAGTCAAACCGATGCTACTCTGAGCTGCCAAAGCGAATTCGAAAATTTGAAACCGTATCTCCGTCATAGCAATCCGACCGAAAACTAGCTAACTTCCTTCATCGAAATATAATTGAAACGTTTCTGGCAAAACTATAATGTAGGGACATTCAATTTGTTCCAACAAAAACCGAGTTGGTTATACCGATCGGCATGTTTGGCTCTCAACTGTTTCGTGAACATTCAATTTTATTGGCGGTTGACCGAATTGTTTAATTCCACTATAGGAAGGCCGAAAAACCAGTTGCGGGTCCGATAATAAAGGGTTAGATTGGATTTCAGCAAAACCATGATCATAGTGTTGTTTTTGTCATCGATGACGAGTTTAATTCCAATTACAATTTCGATTTGGCAATTGGAGATTTGATGGATTGGATTTGTTTCAATTGAGAATAATAATATTGATAATATTTCTTCTGACCCATTCGTTCCATATGGATGACCTTGAACTTTGGGCCTCTGAAGTGAAGGATCTTCAACAATCCTAGAGGTTGGTGGAAGAGTACACGAATGCTATCTGTATGGAATTCGGTATGGTCCATATCAAAAGATGACGATGCGGGGACGATGAAGAAGATGCGCAGCATGTAAGCTTCCTGCACCATCTGGATGCCGGAGAGACTTATACTCACAAGAAATAACAGCAGTCAAGAAGTCTTTCTGCGGAAATTATCAGCACAAATTCTGACAGATCTGGTTATTGGCACTGTCGGATACAAACAGATTTGCTGCTAGGAATATGCTTGCCGTTCCAATCTCACTTTACTCGTTGGAGATATGTAGTATGACAGAATGGTACTGGATGGGGTCTTTAAAGTCATCAGGAGTTTCAACTCTTTCTCTGCATGGTCCGAGACCATGAGAGAGTAGGAAGTAGAGCACTTCTCTTCGGGGCAACTACCCGAGCGGCTGATGAGCTCGACTTCAACAGAAGTTGACATTTGTGCAAGCTATGGAATATTCCTAGCAGATAATTGGAGATTAGAAATTACAGTTATCTTCCGTCTGTGTCCAATATTTCACTTCAAATAACTGATGAAAAGGAACCTTTGAGAGGCTAACTATGGCTCTTGAGTTAGCAGATAATTGATGAATTGAATAATCCTGAGGAATTTCTCGACACCCTGATGATTCCGAATTTGGTAAAATTCGGTGAATGTGTGTATGAGTATAAATTGATAGGAATCGATACAGTCAATCAACAACGAAATGTTGCTGAAAGTATTGACACTGAAAGCTGGGGAATTAATCACTTTCTTTCGATGGGGATTTTGGCATACGCATACATGGGATTAGTCCGGGTTATCCCCGTTCTCCACACATATGATGATGGAGGTTTCCAAGTAATAAATATCATCTTGGTGAATTTAAAACTATCGCAAATGTATGGTACACAATTTTACAGCAGATAGATGAATTGAGGTGACACCTGGTTATAATATTCTCTAGAAAATTGAATGATATCTATTTCAGATTTTGAATGACGAATAATCTGAAGTAAATATTCACAAGCAATAGCAACTAACTGATTTCCACTAGCCTTTATTTTATCACGACAAACACTTCCAGATTGAGTGAAATTACATTCGAAATCAGACTGTATTGAAAATTCTTTCGAAAACAATGATATTAGGATAATAACACTACCCTTTTTTGTTCTCCATAAAATCTATGCATGATAAAATGCTAGAATTGAACTTTTCAAATATTGGGAAGAAACAAGGATTTTGAAACTCAATTATCGTTCTATTACATTCATGACACCATAACGTGTTACTTCATAACCAGTTTCCATCAGTTCATGTATATCACAACGATTTCGAAAGATTAATTGGATTAATGACTATTCACTTCACTTACAGGTGTTCGATTGCCGATATGTAACAACAACCAGTGGTATGTTCGAGGCGCTTTGTAATCACATCAAATACAGTACCAACAAAGGGAACATAAGGTAAGAAACCCAATCAACACCCGGGATGTGGATATCACGTGGAATGCATTTAGGAATCGTGAGTTGAAAATTCTTGTGCGTCATGTGATCAGAGGCTTCCATGTGTCCTCTATTCCATGTTTCAAAGTTGAACATTGGCGGGGCATTTACGTGAACTGTTGAAAAAATAGTGTGAATGTTGAAATTTTGCTTTGCACGTACATTCTGTTGATGAATTTACGAATTAGAGTTATTTCGTGTGTTCGGCTATGAAGAAAGAAAATTATTATGGAAAATTGGTGAATGACTATTACGGTAGTTGAATTTATGCGCTGCTTAGCATGTTTTGTGGAAAAAAAATTCATGATGATGCATCTGCTCACTCTTCATTGCTGGCTGGTGATTTTTTTGAAATCCAACTATAAATTAGAAATGGTACTTTATTGAAATACCTGAATCACTGAAAAAATATTTTTCAATTCATTTATATAAAATGAAACAAAAATGAAGGAATCTTCAAATGAGTAAGATTTTTGAAAGTTCAAATTGAGGTTTGAGATTTTGGGTCACATGGAGGTTAGATATATGAAATTATACAATATTTCCAATCAATGCAATCCTCAAGTTTGTTAACAGAAGCTAGATAGGTTCGATTGAACTTTTTAGTTACCAACTCTGGAGATCTAGGAGGCCTTGCAATGAAATTCATTAAAGAATGTTGAAAGTAGAAGCATTCACAATAGTGGAGTATTTACTCTGATGTGCATAGGAATATTCTGTTCTCAGTACCCATCTCATATCACTTTGAAATTGATTATAGATAACGATGTCGAAAAAAACTATTATATAATGGGCTTCGTTTATGTGATTGCACAAATCCATTCCAGAACTCTGTAAGTTTAATTTTCCTCAATAACAGCTGCTGATGATAAAGAGCTAGAAACGTACCGGAGTATATAATAAACTTTCCATTCAGTCATGGTACATTGAATAATTCTCCACTTCGGAAAATTTCCTTTCCATTATGCAGTTTAATGGAAAAAAGACACATTCGCATGTGTAAAAATCGTAGCCGAGGATATTCCCTCCAGGCGTACGTAATGGAAACTCTCAATTAGAACTCGTATTACTCTGGAACTCGAATGATTCTTCCACAAAAAAATACTTTAAGAGCGCCTGCAAAATATTTCGAAATACTAGAAACGCTATCTGGATTCTGGCATGTATGAAAACGTTTTGTATTATCATAATTGGCAAGAGAGTTAATGATCAAGAAGGGATTAAATGATTTTATTAGTTTCCAAAAGGGGAAAAGAGAATGAGCAGCTCACTGATGGGGTAGATTCGTATACAGGGTGGCCAAATTGAAGTGAAACGGAGATTTCATTGGAAATTGTGACAAGACTCCAGAAGAAAGCGGGAATCCGTTGATTTTGATTGCCGTGGACAATTTTTTCGGTATATATGACTCAACATTCACCCAAACGAGAGTCATAGTAACCTCAAAATATTGAAAAAAATGTTCGTACTATGTCACTGTTACTTATATGTTGATTTTATATACATTGTTGCAGTAAAATCTTTCATGAATTCGTCTCATATCTTGAGGCTGTGACGAAATGAGTTTCAAAGAATTTTTAACAATTCTGCAACATTCAAAAATGTGATAGTTTCTCGATGCCTCATCAAATTGAAATGCCACATCGTATTTTTTCAAGATCAAAGGATGAATCATTGTGTTCCATTCTCAACAACTACTGAATTCATTATATCAGGATGTTTCAACAAATCTGTCCATTTCCATGAGTCTACTTCAAAAAGTAACGATTAACATAACGAATAATTCTATAGTCGGTTGACGTGAGGTCTGGGAAGTGAGGTGGATGAGGCAGAACTTCGATGCTCGATTCGGTTAATTTTCGAACGGTGATTTGTGAAATGTGCAGACGAACGTTGCCGTGAAGCAGGATCAGACCTACTCAGTTGACCAGTACCGACTGCTGCTGACAAACCAATGCCAACCAGTGAATTCATCAGCACTAACATTGCCAAATGCCTGGTTGATTTTTCAGGCCATTGGCAGTTCTTTGGAGTAAACATCCTCTATCTATAAGGAGTTCATAATGATCTCCTAAGGAAGCTAACTTGGATAACGAAAGGCTCGTTGAGAGACCGTAATTTTGTTCTGGTGTTGGAAAAGCGTTTTCAATAGAATCTGGAATCCATCAGCTATTTCCCCATTCAAAGGGTATGTGAATCTGGTATCAGGTTCTAGAACTATCCTTTATCAAAGTTTTGAACACAACATTCGGATTTGTAACTTGTGGAGTTGTAGTAGCTTTCTCTATACTCCAGGCTTTTTTGTAATGGTTTTCACTCGCTATTGTGTATCATGATCTGAAAATTCCTGATAATTCCTGCTACTACTGAAATCTGTACAGATCTAAACCGTTAACTTGCAGCAAAAAAGTAGCCGATGTCTTCTTTTCGTTATTCTTCTCCGACACTTAATTTCATCTTCATCCTAGTTTTATCCAGTTTTACAAATGCAATACGCATATATACAGGAAGGCTCAGGATGTGGAGGGTACTCCAGATCAGTGAGCCTAAGGATTAAGTAGAGAATGGAAAAAAATTCTAGCATGATCCAAACAGAACTGGCTGATATCTCAATCGCCACAAAAGAAATAACCCGGAAAGGAACTTATGATAAAAACCTAACAATCTGAACTGATAGTAGACAAGCCCTATTAGCCTTGAACTGACAACGTGTTAGCAAGTTCTAGAGTTCCACCAAGATTTAGCCAAAGCCTCGGTAGATAATAACATCATCGTGAGGTATGTTGAAGGTACCACAGGAGTAAAGATATTCGCGTTGCGCACTCTTCACCAAAGAAAGCGGCTGGACTGAGAATTTCTGGACCTAGTGGCACCTACGGCCTGATGGCTTTGTCAATTACAAATTAGCCAAACGTCACACCCATGCTCAATTTTTAAAGAGATAGGATGAAATCAAAGGATGAAATCTTGCCAGGATCACCATGGGCGACCCTGGGAAGCTGGCACCGAAAAAATATCTGATGATGACCAGGAAAAATCTACGCTTGACAGTAGTATTTCTGACTGGCCACTGTCAACTGAGGAAACTACTCCATATTATGGGGCTAGTGAACACAGCTCTATGCAGGATGTGTGAACAGGCCTACACCTGCCGATATAAAGGAGATGTCTCCCAGAGACCTGTCAACCTTCCTGGAAAGGACAAGATGGAAGATGGCCTAGGAGGACAACCTCTTGGAAGAATGTACAATGGATCACATGTGGCCTAAGTGCTGTGGGCCAATACTCACCCTATCTACTCTAGAGATACTGATACGCATTGGACTAGGTATCAGCGATCTGACTTCGAAGTGAGTACAGCTCTCACAGTCATTTGGTATGAGTACAGATGCATTAGATTTTTTATTTGTATCATTTGAACCATTTGAGAACCACCCGTTTCTACTGAGCTAACCAATATTCCAGCGTACTTTGGAAACCGGATTTTTGGTTAATCAATATGAATTTTAGAAACTGCTCACCTTCAGAGTAACAACCAACCTATGTAATGAAATTCAAAAACGCTATTCTCACGCTCTTCCTATTTTTTCCATCTTGTCAAAGACCACACTTATTTTGCTTTTATGATCAGAACGCTTTTTTGGACATCAGCAAGCCTTTATTTCAAATGCTGCATCAACATAAAAAATAATAAAGCCCGTACCCTTTCTTGGATATCAACAAATCAGTGAGAGTTCACATAAATTTTCAATCATGCTCGGGTGAAAAGTGTTCAGAATTCTTGGCAACTTGCAGTGGCTTATATCTCATCTAATCCCACCGTGACCTCGTAATTTACCAATCGTACTTTTAATGCAGCGCACTGTTAAAGCTCGGATTCTTTTCAAAACAATAACCACAAATTCCATGGTAATGAGGATCCTGCCAACTGAAGCTGTATCTAGCTTTGCACAATTACCGGATTCTGGCGAGAAAATCCTCGAATAAGACACCAAGAAACTTCGTTCTGGTTAACTGGAACAAACTTCCGACCGTTGAGAATTTAGCAAGATATACAGAGGTGGACTGGTGATTCTAGATTGGAGTTATCAATTGGAAGATAATCTAGAAGAAAATGATCTGTAGAATATGTTAGTTTTCTCTCTCTCTCTCACTTTGTGTGGCCATTACTTCTCTATCGAACGCATTTGGCCAAGTTCCTACTGACAGAGGCTTTCAGCTGCCGCCTCTTAGTATTTCTCACACATTTTTGGTTCATCAAAGAACAGTTTTTTTTACTATCGCGTCCTCTTCGGGAGACCACCTGGTTTATTTTCAAATACATGGAAACCTTCACGTGGTTATCCAAACCACTCCGTCCTGGATACCGGCGTTGATGAATATAGTCCGCACTCCACGTATGATGGAACTTTCACATTTCACATGGAGGTTACGTTCATTAACTACACGAAAAGAGTTACCCACAATTGTTGTTCGGCTTTGTTTTTATCATTGACATCTGTTTTTTCTGTTCTCTGGAAGTTATTGATTGATTTTGGTGGAGTCTCTAATTCGACAATGTTGTTTGTTCACGTACCCATTTATCTAGAAATGGCCTCATCGCTGAAGCATGTACCACTTGTGAACATTTTTCTGACCCAGAGTACAATCACACTATGACACTGTCAACATATCACGTGTTTTTGAGCACTCAATTCTATTTTCCGAATGCACAAAACACTTATAAATTTCACGCCCCACATGCCAACAAACTCAACATGCTAAACAGCTGAAACTGTGGAGATATGTTCAAAACAAGAATATCAACAAGAAGAAGTGAAAAAATCGCTAATCGAATATAGGTACCGCGGAATTTGAACATTGTTTTCATTTCTTGAGACCTCGTAGGAAAACCGATTCAACACTGTGCAGTGTTGCTATTGTATCGCCACGAATAGTTACTGAAGTCGGATGTGGTTATG